CAGAGGGGCGGCAGCGGCCGGCGCAGGACGCAGCTAGAAGAAGCTATAGCGGTTCAATCCCTGCCCCCCTCCCCGTGGGATGGTTTATCCCGCTCGCACCAGATGGGTTCCCGGCGGAACAAACCATTCTCCCGAGGTGTGGAGGGTGTACAATCGCCTCCCTGCCGTGTGCGCTCTACCCCCGCCACACAGCGAGCCGCTACTCCTGCCGTCCCGCCTCAGTTTCATCGTCATCCCCAGAGAACGGCGTGCGCTGTACCTAGCTCTTCTCTAGCCGCCGCTTCCATCTTTCAATGGTCCCCTCCGCTCGCCCTTCCCCAATGTGGAGCCGGCTGGCACAGGAAGGCAATACGCATGCGCTCTGCCCAATTCCTATCAGAACACCATAAAAATGCACTAGGAGGCTAGACAAGACGCCACGGGAAGGGAGGAGGGACGTGTTAGTCCTCCGCGGTGAGGGATGCGCCTTGTAGCAGATCCAGGGCCGCTCTGCAGCGGACCACGTGTGTTGCGTGCACCTGTAATTCAGTCCCGCGGGGCTTGGTTCCCTTTGGTATATATGGTTGTGACTATTTTCTTCCACTATTTGATCTGAGGAAGTGGGTCTGGCCCACGAAAGCTCATCACCTAATAAACCATCTTGTTAGTCTTTAAAGTGCTACATAGTCCTGTCTTTTGTTTCAGACCACCAGGCTTTCAAATATTTAATTTAGGCTCTGAAAAACCACCGGATTTTGCAGTTCAGCTTGTTGGGTTGTTTTACTTAACCTCTAGCGTTGGAACATGTAGTGTCCCAGTCTCAAGTTTTTCCAACACTACCTCTTAGGGCTAAAAAAAAAAACCCTTTAAAACAATGAATAGTCCTGCAGCACCTTAGACACTAACAAAAAATGTAGGTGGTATCATGAGCTTCCGGGTGCACAACCCACTTCTTCAGATGAGGCCATGAAAGCTCATGATACCACCCACATTTTTTGTTAGTCTCTAACCTGCTGCAGGACTACTGGTTGGTTAAGTTTTTTTCAGTTACAGACAAACACGGTAGAAGTGGGTCCAATGAAAGATATTACCTCATTCACCATGTCTCTATATAAAATCATTAGTCTCATCACTTGATAAATTGTCTAGCTGTATATATCAATTCTTTTTCAGTAATCTGCTTTCTAGATAATACCTCCTGAGTGCAGTATACTGAATTAGCAGACCTCTTCAGGTCCATTCTAGTCCTATGATTCTCTGGTCAAATATCCCAGGTTTTACTAACAACTTTGCTCCAAAGACAAACAATAGTGTCATCAAATCAGAAAGTTGTATTAAATGTAAAAGTCAAATTAGAGGAACAGAAATGCAGTATTACCAACTCAAAACATAAAAAATTGTAACTTCCCCAAATCTTGAGATTTTAAAACCTAACCATTTTTAGGACATCCCTTTGTGGGAGCTTTAGGGGAAGGGATTATTGACTCTGAATTTTTTTTATTTCCTTTCTTCAGGGATCATATTTTCTGATCATCTTCCATCATCACATAGAAGGTAAGGAGCTAAGGCTATGTCTACACTCACGGCTTCTTGCGCAAGTACAGCCGTTCTTGCACAAGAATCTGCAGAGCATCCACACTGCCCGCCCACTTTTGCGCAAGGAAATGTACAGTACGGCATGGTAAGAGAGGGCTCCTTGCACAAGACTTACGCTCTTTTTTATCAGGTGTAAGCCCTCTTGCGCAGGAGCTCTTGCGCAAGAGGGCAGTGTGGATGCTCGGCAGGGATTTCTTGTGCAAAAGAGCCCTATGGCTAAAATGGCCATCAGAGCTTTCTTGCGCAAAAAGCGTCAACACTGCCATGGGAGCTGTCATGTTACTGAATTTGAGGGAAGCAGCCAGATCACTGATGCACCCATAGGTGGGGGTGTTGGCCCCAAAAATGGTATAAAAGGGGGCCATGTGGGGTATTGAATAGAAGCTTACTGTCTGCTAATCCTATGTACGCTAGTCATGTGATTTTATAATGTCTGTGTGTGTAGTTAGGAATCTGTAATCTGTGTGGATACTGAATATTTCTCTGCATGTGGTTGAGCACTGGGCAGAGCCTGGCCTATGGACATGCTAATTAGCGAGGCCCTGTGGGACAATGGCACTCAATGGGCCAAGGACACACCTAAAGAATGAGGGCTGACACCTAAGGGCTGCCAGCAGGAAACAGGGACAGCCGCTGGCCAGGTGACCTGCTGCAGCCAAGAAGAGACCAGGAAGGATATATAAAGAGTTCATGTGGTCGACTCCATCTTGGTACTCAGCTCAGCACGTCATCCCAGAGGCAGCAATGCAGGGATCGAAGGGCCAGAAAGAACTGTGGACCCATCCTGATCCTAGGATGTGCAACAAGGACTTTTAAGCCAGCAGCTGTAACATCTCTGCTAGAGCCTGCATCGAGAACTGGGAGATTCGATGCATGTAATGTACTATCCTTTAACAACCTTACTCTCATGCTTTTCTTTATTGTAGTAATAAACCTTTAGATGTTAGATGCTAAAGGATTGGCTCAGCATGATTTGTGGGTAAGATCCAGAGGGCAAATTGACCAGGGATCTGTGGCTGATTTCTTGGAACCGGACAGAACTTTTTCGGGGTAGGTGGGATTGGGTGCTAAGACCCCCCACCTGTGTATGAGGCCCGGGGCTATCTGGGACACGGATATTGCTGGGGTGTCGGAGAGGTTTTGCTCGTGAGGCTTCAGGCAGGCTACTGAAGCGCTCTGTGGCACTGGTTTGTGGCCTGTTTGGAGAGGTCACCAGTCTGGGGGCTGTAAGGAGCCCCGAAGTTGAGCAATTCGCCCTGAGCAGATGCCCTCAGCTGTGCCCAGACACAGCCCGGTCCGTCACAGGAGCTCTTGTGCAAAAGCACAGCGTGCACATGCCAGTGTGGACATTTTCTTGCACAAGACTTCTTGCACAAGAACCCTTGCGCAAGATGTTCTTGCGCAAGAAGCCGCCAGTGTAGACATAGCCAATGGCTTGAAGAAAACATTTAATACACAAAATTAGATTCTACTCTGGACCATTTAACATGGTCCAGAGTAGGCGAATGATGATGATTCATGCTGTACTATTAATGATACATACTTAGAAAGTCACACATGGAAGGAATGAAAAGGGATTGATCTTATTGTCTTCACCCCCATCCTCTCCCACTATTTATTTGTCACCTCGTTTCTTCTTGCCTCCGTTTAAGGCCTGACTCTGCACAATGCTGAACACCTTCAATTCCCTTTGATTTAAAAACATGGACATTTGCGCTGCAGCCTATGAATCTGATCCCGGGAAGCTCAAATGCTTCAGGGAATGGTTTGGGGAAAACGCCTTTCATAAGAAGTTTAAAGGAAGCTAGCTAGCTAAAAATTGTACAGTGCACATTTCATTTAACCTAATCCCTGGTATCTGTAGGGATAATGTTATGGCAAAAGGCAATAGGACTCTGCTCAGGCTCTTATGCCCCTGATTCCTCTCAGAAGACTTCGTAAAGAGGTGGCTTTGAGGTAGATAGCTACATAGCAATGACTTCAAAGTGGATGACAGCTTCTGGTTGGCTGTTGGCAAAGAGATGGCTGTGCAACTAGAGGCAGCTGTCACTGAAGCTGTAGAAAAGAGCAACCATAGATGAAGAGCTGCAGGGAGCCCCTCCTTCGCACCCCTCATTAAAGCTGTAATCACTACAACTGGATCAGGTAATAGAGCCTTGGGATCAAAATAGGCAGCATTTCCCTTAGGGGTTGGAGATGGACGTGCTCTAACTCTGGACTCTTCCAGCCCCAGGCAACAAACAGTGAGTGGGGAAGGAAGTGACTCCTGAAGAAATACATTATCTTTATGAACACTCACACCACAACTAGAGGACTGAATTTAGGATTGTCTCCAAGGCCTCCAGGTGCAATGGTCCCTCTAATCTTTTCCATCCATGTGCAGTTTGTTTTTCCATTCATGTGTGGATTAAATTTTTCTGTACTGTAATGAGGCATGGACAAATGTGCCCCACCAGTAGAAACAAACAAAAACAAAAAACCTAGCTGTGGGTGCTCTGCTAATCAGCTGAGTGGCATTTGAATCTCTCCTGAGTGGGCCGCCCATGTGCACAGACTAGGTGATGACAAGGAGAATCTTACTTAATATATTTACAGTTATTTTTTATTATTACTGGATTTTCAAAATTTATTTGGAGTCCCTTTTCAATTCTCTTTCCCATATATGTCTTTATTTAGTTTTCCCAAGTTTCTAGAGGGTGACTTTAGCTGGGGCTATTTAAGTTTTCAGAAGTTAGCCAAACCTCATCTTTATTGCTGACAATACCTAGTAGCGAGATTACATATAACTAAGTATAAATAATCTGATTGTGAGAGGGATACTCTTTGTCCTGCCAGATCCGGGTGAAATATTATGACTATGAGAAGGTCTCCCCTTTTCTGAGCATCTTCACCACATGTTCCTTGTAGGGGGCTAAAGGTGAAATCATTTTCTATCATAACTAGATACTAAATTATCCTCAGTTCACTGCTTTCTACAACTCTCCAGTGCAGGGGAAACAGTGGTTGTGAACTCTCTTCACATAGAGGAATGAAAGGTCCACCCATCACATTCTGGAGCCATTTTTTCCTTCAGCCTGAAGAGATCTGGGATTTAGCTGGATGTGTTAATTTAGGTTAGGAGAACTGAGTAAGTTCTAAAATTCAATTTATTTAAGATCCCATCCTTTTCACCAAAAGGATCTAGACGTTTCACCAAATCTTATAGGCTTGGTTTTTAAATCTTTTGAGAAATCACTTAGCTTTAGCAAAAAGCCCTCTGTTCTGTCGATTTTCTTGCACAAAAACGTGCTTGAGATGTGGACACTCTTCCAGTTTTTGCACAAAAAAACCTTGTAGACATAGCCTCAGTGAGGTTGCTGAAGATCCAGCTGGTTTAAAGGACAGAGAAGAATTATGGGACACACTGATGGGTAGTTTCTCAGCCCAATGTTTACAAAAATTAAATCTGCCCACAAAGAGATTTACCATCCAGGTAAAACAGATGATCTTTGTTAATTCTATACTAAGAAGAAGAGAAAGAGTATTCTGCAAAGGACAAGGCAATGTGTTGTCTCACCAAGACACAAGATATCGTTCTAAAGTTGAACAGGGTTAAAGCAAAGATCCACTGGTGATGATGCACATCATCACTAATAAAACTGTTCCATGGGATATTTTGCAGAGTACAGATAA